TGGATAGACTCACCAAGTCCGCTCATTTCTTGAGTATGAAGACCACTGACTCCTTAGAGACCTTGGGCCAGCTTTATATCTGCGAGATTGTTAGATTACATGGAGTTCCACTCTCTATCGTGTCAGATCGTGATTCTCGGTTTGTAGTGTAATTCTGGCAAAGTCTATAACGAGCTATGGGGACAGAGTTACACTTTAGCACCGCCTTTCATCCTCAAACGAATGGCCAATCCGAGAGGGTGATACAAATTTTGGAGGACACGTTACGTGCTTGTGTGTTGGACTTTAAGGGATGTTGGAGTGATCATTCGTCATTGGTGAAATTTGCATATAACAACAGTTTTCAATCTAGCATCGGCATGACACCTTATGAGGCATTATATGGAAGACCATGTAGGTCTCCGACTTGTTGGTTGGAAGCTGGAGAGAGTAGTTTGTTTAGGCCAAAAATTGTTTCAGATACTACGGAGAAAATTCAACTCATCCGAGATAGACTACGCACGGCACAAAGTAGACAGAAAAGTTATGCGTATAGAAAACGAAGACCATTGAAATTCCAAGAGGGGGACTATGTGTTCCTCAAGATGTCACCCAAAAAGGGAGTGTTTAGATTTGATAAGAAGGGGAAATTAGCTCTAAGGTATACCGGACCATTTGAAGTGATCAAAGCTGTAGACAAAGTGGCGTATCAACTTCGGTTACCAGCTCAGTTGTCAGGGGTGCATGACGTGTTCTATGTGTCAATGTTAAGAAAGTGTCAATCGGATACAACGCATGTCATGGATTTGGAGGATATAGAAATTCAAGATGGAGCAACCTATGAAGAACAACCGGTGGAGATTCTCGATACCAAGGAGAAGGTGCTTTGCAATAAAGTCATCCAACTGATGAAAGTCTTGTGGCAACATCATGACGTGGAGGAAGATACTTGGGAACCGGAGCTAGAGATGCGAGAGAAGTACCCTCATTTGTTCTCTACTTAAGGTGAGTTTCGAGGACGAAACTTTCTTTCAAGGAGGTGGATTGTAAACCCCCACATTCTATTATTTATATACCAACGTAAGTATGTTTTAAAATGCTAATATATGTAATGATGTATGCATGAACTAGATAGATTGTAAGAGTAGAGATAAAAATTTATTTGAGGTAATAGGGTGTGTTGTAGAAGTTTGGAAGTATTCCGGAGTGAAAACACATTTAGACAAAATTTGGATAGAAAGGATTTTGGACACTGTCTAGTATTTGGATCATAACTTTTTTATTATGATGTCCATTTGATCTGAAAGTTTGACAATAGATAGTAGACTTCTAGGGCTACAAAAGTGTGTTTCATAAAATATTCCAAATCGACCTCTAAATAGGCCAAAACTTCACTTGCAGTTTTCAGCAGAAACAGGAAGTACGTTCGAACGTGAAATGACGTTCGAACAACCTACGTTCGAACGTGAAAGTCTGTTCGAACGACAGTGAGTTCCAATACTCTTTGTCTGATGAAAAAACAAAAGTATTGGGAGCAAATAACGTTCGAACGCCAAAATGACGTTCGAACGTGAGTTATGGAGTCTGAGTTCAGATTCGCGCATAGGGGACCATTTGGCCTCCTATAAATACATAAGGACACCACCTTTAGCCTTATTTCAACATTTCTAACCCTAGAGAGGCTTAGAGAGGAAGAAAGAAAGGGAAAATTAGAGATCAAATTGTTGATTCAATTTTGGGAAAGATCAAATCTTCAAGTTCTTCACACAAAACTAAGGAAGAAGGTAGGAGTTTTCTTCCACTCTTGTTCATTGATATTAGGGCTTATATATATATATATATATTAGCTCTTAATCATATATATTTGTTATAGAATCCTTGATTCTTGATATTCTTGCAAATATTACCGTATTTTGAACAAAGCTATGGTTGGATAGCCATTACATCTCTTCTTCTTGTCTTAAATCCCTAGTTTTCAAGCGAAATGAATTTTTCTCTTTATTTTTCATTTGTTCTTGATTTCAAAACTCTAGTGCTTGGTATTGAACAATAAAATGGTATTTTTGATGATCTCTTGTATATTTTCTTAAATTATTATATTTGAATAATATATGTGAAATTTGAGAATTTTAGATTTTACTTCTGATTTGAGAAATTGGTTGGGTATTGTATCTCTTGTGGGTGTTTGGATGACCATGGGTGGCCGTTGACCGGATATCATAGAGTGGGTAGATGTATTTCTTACTCTATGAGGGTTTGAATTTTTTCTACCACTCGTAGTGGGGTTGGTGCCTTGCAAGGACCAAACCACTATTCGCTCACAGGTACTGAGGCTGAAGGTTAGTATACAATTCTTGGGTTGGATTCGTTACTGTCAATGCGTTGGTATACACCCTTCCTAAAGTTTGATATCCTTGCGAGGATTGAGTGTGTGTATGTGGGCTAGAATATTCTCTATGTATTTATTCATACGATATCATACATCATACCTGAGATACAACTACAAATACAAATACATAATGTTGTGAAAGATACAAGTTGTGATTTGATAATTAGAGGAACAGCCCCGAGTTGATGAGCAGATAATTGGGGAAGCTCAAGTTGATGGACATGTGGATTCGGAGGGGAATATTTAGAATTGTTCTTTTTATGTTTTAGACTAAGAGATTCATTTTGAGACAATGTGAAGTCTAATATTTTTTGTTATTCCGCTGCAAGTTAATAGTTAATTTTTGGAATGTAATTTCCATGGTTTGACATATTCTTTTGAATGATGTTGTAAATATTATGAATGATGAATGAAATCTTCTTTACTTATAGATCATATTAGTTGCTCTCGTGATGTGAATGATTTTAGATATTAATGTCATCCAAGGTGAATTTTGAGGCGTTACAATTGTTGTTTAGGCTAGTTGAGAGTTTCAATGAAAAACTCACTTTTAATCTATAATTGATTATATCCTAGGTACCCGACATGCGTACAAATAGCATTTTTTCTTTTTTCTTGCTTGTTTTCTTCTTGGTATGGAATTGATAAAGGCTAATTTCATTCAAGAGTAAAATTCAAATTTAACTTTTTGACTTACAAAAATGTTCGTTGACATAATTCAATAGTATTGTTATTGCCATTACAGCTGTTGGACTTATTCATTAACACAATGTCACTTGACAACCTTAAGTCAAGCTATTAAATTTGAAAAATTAACTAAAGAACATTGAGGGCATAACAATCTTACGCCTAACTTTTTTTTAAAAAAAAAAAAAAGAAAAGAAAACGACATGATCATAATTCAATCAAGTTACTCCATAAAAAGGATGCCGATTTTGAATCCAAAGAAAATCGTTAAGAAACAATGTAATTTAGATTTATTTTTCATAAATCTCGACAATGTTTTTATGAGAAAATCTAGGCAGGGAACATGAAGATAAAAGTATATCCCGAGAGAGCATATATCTAAGAAAATCATCCAAAAAATCAACTAATAGAACCATAACATCATCCAACCACTACAAAAATCTCCTAAATCATCCAGACATCCTTCAAACTTGTTTTAAGGTTTACAAACCAAAAATCTCTAATGACAAGACAGTAGAAGTAAAACTAATGCTACGAAAATATGAAATTAAACATAGTCTAAAACCTCTCCCCCGGCTCGTCAAAGATAAAAAAAAAACTAATTCTAGAAGATAACCTCAACCCCTTGTAGATAATCCTCAGTTATCTCCCTAGTCTCCTACTTAGTTTCTGAAAAATACTAGTCCATTAGAATAATGTTTCTCAAAGTTTTCCAAGATTTTGCATAAATCAACATTTGATAAGTGAACATAATAATATGATACATGCATATTCAAAAGCCTGGTAGTGCAAGAGAAATTATGAACATGCATGTATTTTCAAAACTATAATACTGCACAAGTACAATAATCATAAATCTGAAGGTTCTAGAATGTAATGTACATCAACAAGGACAATAAACAAATCACCAGTCCATTCATGGAACCTTCGTGGGGACTCTTTGGGATCTCACACCCTAGGAAACATGCTACCCTACTTACTTTTCGAGGAATCTAATATCGAAAGAATAATATTATATAGACTTAAAAATTAGATTTAAAAAATAGACTTGATAATCACAACTATTGAATAGATATTATGTCTCAATAAATGTTGAGACCTACAGTGAAATCAATGATTGTGATTATCAAGTCTAATTTTTAAGTTTATTTTTTAAGTCCATTTAATATTGCTCGTACCGAAAGAGAAATATGTAGCCACATTGACAACCACAACATCTAATACTATTAATCAAAGTCTTGCAAGAATTTGTAAGAATTCTGTGCATCCTTACAACGACCACAATATCATACAAATCCAATCAAAGTACCTATAGAAATACGTATATTCTCACAAGGACCATGACGTCTACGGACCCATCACTATTGGCAGAATGCATCCAAGTTTTCAGATCAAACCAGTAACAATTACAACTTATAATCCATAGTATTTTATATGATATCATAAGAGCTTTTCCCTAAACCCAGTATTCTCAAAAACTTTATTCCCAAATTTATTCAATTTTAAACTTATTTTCTAAACTTAGTTTCTTTTTAAAAACATCATTCCAAATGACGTCTTCGTGAGTTAAAACGTCATTTAAAATAACAATTTTAAACTAAATTTTTTTTATTAAAAACGTTATTCAAAATGACATTTTTAAAAGCATCATTTTTAATGACCTTTTTTTTAAAATACATTTTCAAACAACAGTTATCAGATGTTTAAAAAAAATATTGGGTAGAAAACGTAATTTGTAGTGACTTTTTTGAAAACGTCATTTTAAATGGTGTTTTGCACCCACAAAAAAAATTGCATCTTTGCCATCCGAATAAAACCCACAATCAACAGATTCTTTAGTGAAGGATTCTTGAAAGTCATCATCTTTTGAATAAACTCCATTCGTTTTGGGCCAAACTAATTTCCTCCCAGACATTTTATTCTCAAGAATTGATTTGCTCTGAATTCACCTATGGATTTCTTCCAATAAGAATGGTGGTGGGTTCTTCACATTCAATGGAATAAAAGGCACAGCACTTACACTCGGAACCAATTGACTACTGGGAGCACCTGATACATGTTCCTCTGCACTTTCTTCCTCAAATAACTCAGCATTAGGCTCATATTCTTCACTAAATGCAGCCATTCCAGCAAATTCTTCAGAATAATCAAGATCTTGTATAGAGTCGAACCGAAGAGACATTGTCCCGTTCGTTCTTTCTGTTGAGAGCTTCTCAAAAATTCTATCAACTGAATTAATCGTAATCTCACCCATTTTTGGATTATTATGCTCAAGGGTTGGATCTCTTTGGTTGATGGATGGAACATAGAATCCCTTTTCTGGACAAGGGACTGTCACGAAATAGCATCACACAACTTTGCTGAACTATTATCAGTAACAAGGCTCATGTTTTTTTAATGTTCTGATCTTTGGAATCTGCCCCTCCTCTAACTGATCCTTATTGACGCAAAATTGTTCAGCACTTGCTTCCTAATCATCATCCACTTTTGACTTGGGAGAAACCACAAAATTATAAGATGTGCATCATTTGCCTCAGAAGACTCTCCCACCTCATTTTGACCAAACACTATCATCTGTCCTTTCCCCTTATCCTCTTTGGGTTTCTTCGTCTTAAATTCCTTTTTCTGAACATTCAACCTACTGCCTTTCTGTTGAGCTCTTGCTTGCTCCTTGTTTCTAACTCTTTCATGTTGTTGGACCTCCATTACCTGTTCCTTGTTCATGATACTCTGCTTCTTTGGAATCTCCATAAACTGCTCTTTACTTGCATCCAAAGATGTAACTTCAGGCCCAGACTTTTTCCTCTTTCTACAATCCATTTCATCATGGCCCTGTTTGCAACAAACTTGACAATATTTTTTGTCTTTTTCATAGACAATCTTTTGCCAATGACCTTTGAGTCCTCCCTCATCTAACCATATTCTATCTGGATTGTTCTTTAAAAGATTTGACCAAAACACAGACTTTGGCTACACTTGGCCTGGTAAGGTTTGCAGTTGATCCATCAATGGCCAAGACTTGACCACTTGGACTCAATAATCAATGATCATGCTATATGTGGGCACCTTTACTTCAACTTTCTCTTCAGTCATTTTATCAAGCAACTGAACTGCACTCAAAACCTTCCCCTCCTTACACATCCTTTTGGCAAGACTTCAGAAATCCTTCGAGCCAACAGAGAATGAAGTTGTCTGTTTCTGTTGCTGTTAGTGAGTACAGCGCCGGAGGTAGGATCCAGCCGCGTAGTGTCTTCGTCGGAGGTAAGCTCTAGCGCCGGAGTAGTCTTCGTCTGCGGTAAAAGCCTTCACTGGAGTTTAGTTTAGATCGGGTTTTTGTGATTTGAGAAAGTTGGGGGTGGATTGTAAGTGGATAGAAAATGTTATTTACAATTACCTTTTTAAAAACGTTATTATAAATTCATTTTAAAAACCGTCTGCTAGTTTAAATGTTTGTTAGTTGTGGATTGAAAATTTATTTTAAAAAACGTCATTAAAATGACGTCTTTAAAAATATTATTTTAAATAACGTTTTTAATAAAAAAATTTTAATTTTAAATTATCATTTCAAATGACGTTATTACCCATAAAATAAATTTTTGAAGAGACTGGCCATATAAACGATACAAATTCTCAATATAGATTTTGAAATCATAGCCATTACCCATGCAATTTTAACATGTGCAAAGAAAATATGGTCACCAACAAAACCCTAATTTCTTTCCCAGTACTAATGCAATGGACAAATCACAATTTCATAAAAAGAATCCAACGATCATGATTCTGTCATTCACCTCACTAATTATATGTTTGCATTGAAATTTGCACAATGGGAAGATCAAAGTTTAATTACATGCTGCAAATCAGGCGATCATGATAGCCTTAATGTGAACTAATGTTTGAAATTTAGTCCAACTTAAAACTCTGTTTGATACGAAAGATGAAAAGTAAAAATGATATATTTTCCTTTATTTGTGTTTGGTTAGATGGATGAAAAATAAAAATTACTAATTTTTTTTTTTGGCTAAGATTAGGGGCAATCGAGTCGTGTCGTGTTATATTCATGTTGAGTCATTACGGGTTTATGTCGAATATTAGTCAAACATAACTTAACTCATTTAATTAATTATGTCGTGTCGAGTTGCGAATTGACCTATTTATTTTTGTGTCGTGTTCGTATTCGTATTTGTGTTGACCCACATAAATTTTGAATAAAAAATTTAACGCTAATTTAATGTTATTTTCACTCATGTTAATATTTTTTCTACAAACTAAAAATTAACTTGAATAAATATAATAATAATAAGTAAAAATATCTTTTTTATATAATAATTATATCAGTGCTTCATAAATAGTTACAAACAATTAACATTTTATGTCTATAATATGAGTTAAACATATTAGTTTCGTCTTACCATACAAACAAAAAAATAGAGAAAGTGTTTATTTTTAAATAAACGGGTTGATAGTGTCAATTTTGAGTTTGACTTATTGAACTGAATATAAGTCTTTTATATTTCTTGTTCACGTGTCAGGTCATTTTCAAGTTCGTGTCTAGTTATAATCAAATTCGTGTCAAATTCGAATCGTGTTATTGTGTTGAGTCAAAAAATTTTACCCCTAATTAAGATGGAAAAAATATTTTTTTAATTTAAAATTTAATTTTTAATTTTTTATTTTTTATTTTTAAAATTGTTTAAAAAATATATATAAATATATATTTTATCATTGTATTTTTATATGAAATTAATGTATACATAATATATGTATATATTAAAAAAAAAAACAAATAAGATACATCTCAATAAAAATAATTAATTTTTCATCTACTTTCCTTCCTATTTTGGTGGAATTGATTTTGGTGAGTTAGAAAAAAAGTTAATTCATCTATTTTTTCATTATTCTTATTTTTCTTGCTTATCAAATATAATATTTTATTTATCCCTCTAATTTTTCATCTTTTCAACTTTTTAACCTTCTATTTTTTCATCGTATCAAATAAAACATAAGCATCCACAAACCATATATTGTTCAAGATAGGCCTCGACAATGGGTCACACCAGGCTGGCCCAGTGTATTACTTTTCAACTCATAGCTCGCCCTAGGGCCAAGCCTCTAGACTTTGACTAGTCCACAGGTCGAGGTGGGCTGGCCTGCAAAAAAAATTAGTGAAAAGTGGAATTGAATTTTCATAGATATACTTGTTTTAAGAAAAATCATACAAGAAAATTTGTAAGGGGTTAAATTCATATTTAAAATTATATGTAATGACTTAAATTTATTTTTTATTTTTAATCTCAAAAATACCCTTACTTGAAAGGAAGTTAATCTTTTCTTTCTCATATCTATCTATATTCATATATAAGTTAACAGTTTGACTAACATTAAAATTTTTCTTCTCTTATATATATATATATATATATATAGTAACATTCAAATAAAAAAAAAAAAGTTACTGTGAATTTGAATAGTAAAATTTAAATTCATGTTACTATTTTTTTTATTATGTTACTGTTCATGTTACTATTTTTGTTGAGTATGTTACTATTCATTTACTATTATTTTTGAGCATGTTATTGTTTTTGTTGATCATGTTACTATTATTATTTTCCTAAATATTAATATCAATGTTATTATATTTTTTTTTGAATATTACTATTTTTTGCATTTGAATTTGAGAGAAATAATTATTGTTAAGTATGTTACAGTTTTTGTTAAGCATGCTAATATTTTTGTTGAACATGTTACTGTTGTTATTTTTTAAAAATATTAATATTGAATGTTTCAATTTTTTTTTTTTATGTTGAAATGTTACTATTTTTTTGTGTTTAAATGTATTATTTTTTGTGTCCAAATGATAATTTTTTTTTGTATTTGAATATTACTATTTTTTATTTTTAATGTTACTATATATAGATAGATAAGAGAGAGGAAAAATTTTAATGTTAGTCAAACTCTTAACCTATATATCAATATAGATAGATATGAGAGAGAAAAGATTTTATTGCTAGTCAAACTCCTAAAATTTAGGAATTTTTAATTTTTTGTTTTATTTTACTTCTAAAAAGAAGGAATAGTATGGTAAAATTGACAAAAAATTGACTTCGTAACAAATAAGTTTCTTTGACGGACTCAAGTTCAAACAAGTTCATACAGGGCGACCTCCAAATTTCTCAAAAAATTAAGGCCCAAGGCCCTCCCGTGAGCTGGCCTATTAGACCAAAATGGAGCTAAATATAGACTAGGTATTATGGGCCACTTTCTGGGCCTAACATGGGTTTTATATATAAAAAAAAAATACTGTTTATATAAAAATTTAAAAAGACTTCAATTCATAAAGTTGGATATGCAAAAATAAATTAAAAAAATTATTCGTATAATTGAATTTAACAAATATTCATCAATAGTTATAATGTTACATTGATTGATGGGTAAGACTATTTTGCATTACTACTAATTGAGTACATCCCAACTAGATTGACACTTACACAATTATCAATCATTTTCAAATCTCAACCCTTTAAAAGTTACACATCAAATATCAAATCGGCAAAACAACTATGAAATATAATTTAGTGAAAATTGGGGTTCAATCCTATTTATGGAATTTTTAATGAGTTTAGTTTGTCACTCAAACTTATTTGAGGATAAGTCATATTTTAATATTACTAATAAATAGTTAAATCAACAATTTTTTAATAACTCCAAAGTACCCTAAAATAAATCATATTTTAATCTTACATTTTTTAAATTAATTTCCTATCTTTGGAAATTGTTACCCTTTAACTCAATGTCAATGAAAATATGTCAATAAAATTTCCATCATATATTTACAATTCAAATTTAAAGAACCCAATTGGACTATTCTCTCTCCTAATAGATTGCCGATGAAAAAAGAAAGAAGTTTAAGAGACATTCTTCAAAAAACTAATGTCAAATGGATTTCTCATCCATGGCAGCAACAATACCCTCTTCTTTTTTTTGCCTTCTCATTCTTCTCTGCTTCTCTTTTAATCCACATATTTTTTTCTTCAACATTCCCGGTTCACTAGCTATTTATATTGAGTAAATTGCACAAATGATCTACAAGGTTTGTCACTTATCGTACTTTGATTCTTAAAATTTTAATTTCGTCAATTTTATCCTCAAATTTTAAACATTGAGTCAATCCGGTCCTTGGAACTAATTGTCGTTAGAAAAATTTATGGAAAATGTCATGTGAAGGTCACGTGCAAATTTTAAGGGCATTTTTGGTATTTTACAAAAAAAAATCTGATGGCAAAAATGTCAAACAAAAAACCAACACCATTCTCCCATTTTCCCCTCAGATCCTTGTACCCTACTCGTAGAAACCTCACCCAAATCGACTGCCCTTAGAGCATTCCTAGGCTGCTCGCCAGTTCAGCCTTTTAGCTATTTTGGCGAGCAAAACTCCAAATTTGGTGCTCCAATCCACTAGCGATTCTCCTCGCCAAAATAGCTGGAGGTCTTCATCCTAGCCAGATTTGGAGAGCCCAATTGTTCGCCAATCTCTCTCCCTTTAGTCGCTCAGTCTGTCTTCCTTCCTCCAATCTCTCCATTTCTGCACAACACACGCTGTGAGTCGGTCTTCCTTCTTCCTTCAGGTATGTCTTCCTTCCTCCAATATAAGTTTTCCCTTGCTTTCTGTGAATCGGTCTTCGCTCAGTCTGACTTCTTGAATTTTTTTGAGATGTGTTTCTTTTCATTGTTCACAATATGTTTGATGAATTGCCTCGATGAGATATGCACTTGATTTATCTAAAATACTGTGTTAGTTTTTTTTTATTGTTACTTTGATTTGG